ATATGCTCCCCCTAGGACACGTTATGGCCCGTCATAAAGTGTCCTTCCACTGCTATGCGGACGACACACAGATATACCTCCCGCTGAGACCAAACGACCCTGGAAGTCTGGCTGCTGTGGTCGACTGTTTTAATGAGGTGAACCGTTGGATGGCCCACAACTTTCTACAGCTCAACACATCCAAATCTGAAGTCCTCCTCATCAACCCGCCTCTATCCACATCCCACATCCAAACCCACCTCGGCCCCCTCCGCCCGTAACCTCAGTGTCATTTTTGATTCTCACCTCACCTTCCGCTCCCACCAAAAAAAAACACCCAAACCTGCTTCTTTCACCTCCGCACCAGCTCAAACATTAAAAACATTCTCACTCCTCCCAATCTCCGTAAAGTTGTCAACGCCCTCATCTTCTCCCGCCTCGATTACTGCAATTCCCTCCTCTCCGGTCTCGACGCTAAATCCCTCTCCCGCCTCCAACTGGTCCAGAACGCAGCAGCCAGACTTCTCGCTGGTTTTAACAGAAGGGAGCACATCACCCCTGTTTTAGTGTCTCTCCACTGGCTCCCTGTGCGTTTTAGAATTGATTTTAAGATTTTACTGATTACTTTTAAAGCTCGTTTAGGTCTGGCACCCAGCTACAGTATATTTATAAACTTTTAACCCCCTACGAGCCCCCCCGCAGCCTTAGATCCTCGGGCAGGTCCCTGTTGACTGTTCCAAGGTCGAGGCTCTGGACGAAAGGTGACCGAGCCTTCTCTGTCCGGGCTCCTCGGCTTTGGAACGACCTGCCCGAGGAGATAAGGCTAGCACCATCAGTATCCTTTTTTAAATCACTTCTAAAAACCCACTTTTATAAAACAGCTTTTAACTGCTAGTTTTAAACTTCACATGCTGTATTTTAATGTCTGCTTTGTCTTTGTTGTGTCTCCCTTCTTGTGTTTGTATCTGTATGTATACTTCAATCGTACTTCAGATATCAAAGTTATTTTAAATAGATTTTTCCCAGTAAGTGAATATTACTCATTTATTGTTAGTTTATTTAAAGCTTGCCTATGTCACTCAGGGTTTTCTTTGAATTTAACTGTTTCTGTTCAAGTAAGCCTCACTTTTGACATTTTGACGTGTAGAATCTTTAATGAGGCAGGTATGTTCATGGCAGGGTGGCCTGGTGGCTCAGTGGGTAGCACCATTGCCCCTCAACTGCAGGGTTCTGAGTACGAATCCCGGTCAGATCAAGTAGAAATTTAAACTTTATTGCAATCACTTGAGTTTACTTGGTAATATCAAGTAAAGGATGTACTCAAGGAATTCAAGTGAAGTTAATACGCAATTTATTTCCATGGTTTTTTCAAGTAAACTTTACTTGTCAGGGTTTACAATATTTGACTTTGCATCATGTTATTATTTTTTATTATGCTGACTGTGCAGCGCTTTGTAAACATTGTTTTTAAAAGTGCTATACAAATAAAGATTATTATTATTATTATTATTGAAAAATGCTAACAAATCAAGCGGCTTCACTATCTCTGCTGCTGTGACCTAAAGTGCTGTTGCATTTTAATACTATTGTTTGCTACTTTTAGAATTATCTAATTACTTGTTTTGTTTGTATGGATGCAAGATTTTCTGCTGCTTCTGAATTTCTGACACCTGAATTTCTCCTACGGGGATCAATAAAGAATCTATTGATCTGATAAGGTATCCATACTTCTCTATCTATATACAGAATGTATCTATGACAGAAATAAACTTACGGAGGAAGAAAAAGTCATGAAGAAAAACGTCATGTTCATAAACTGTGCTAATTACACAAAACTAAAAGCTGTCTATTTGAGTTCTAGAGTTAAAATAGAACATTTCAGTAACTACCTCTACACCTGTCACATCTGAGGCCTCTGTCAAACTGGGACATTGTAAACGTCACTAACATTTAAAAACTGAAAAATCAAGAAAATCAAGAAAAATTAACATTTTGAAATCCATGTCTTTGTACATTGCTAAAAATGTGACAAAGTCATTTAGTCTTATTTAAAGAACTTTTGCTTTATTTTCTATACAATTCAATTTTACACAATATAATTTATTCTTGTATAGCCCTAAATCACAACAGCAGTCATCCTTAGAAGTGTTTTTTATTCTTTATTTTTTATTATCTCTTTCTGACTGTTGCACTGAGCCAAAGCAATTTCCAAGTCGTCTGTGACTTCCTGTTACTTACGTGGCAATAAAAATGATTCTGATTCTGATTCTGATCTCAGCGGACTTAACAAAACCGTTGAAATCACCAACACAGATCAGAGAATCAACAGTTAAGACACAAAAAATATAGAACACATGTGTATTGGTCCATTTGGAGAGACCAATGTCCATGAATGTTGGTGAATGGCCATACATGTTGTAGAATGTTTAAGTGTCCTGGGTCAACAGCACAGTGATGAAATCCACATTGAGAGAGGGACGGGCTCCACACGAACGGACGGGCTATAGATCCAGGACCTAAGCTACAGAACCAGGACCAGGGCCACGCAGCAGCCTCAGAACTTGGACAGATCCGTTGCAGGACTGAAGCAACTCCCAGGCGAGTCGGGCAGGGCAGTACGCAGGTGTAGATGGAGTGGGCCGGGCTCTGGGGTCCTGTTGTCACGTCATGAAACAGACGGTGGGACAACGGGTGAATAGCAATGAACAGACTACAGTCAAAATCTTAATAATGCAGACAGATTAAGTAAGAAGGAGGAGAGGATAGTGCTCAAGTTACAATACGCAGTTTGACTGACAGTCTAATGGTGCTTTCAGACCGCCAACGCTGAAGCCCCGCTCACCAGACGCGCATTCTCTAGTTTTCAGACGCAGAGGTCTTCACACAGAGATGTCCTGAAGTGCCGGAAGGGCCGGAAGTAGCCGGCCGGCTCTGATGCTAACAGAGTTTAGCTAGCGGCTTCTTGTGTACAGATCTTCTCCAATATGCAGCTTTGCAGCGTGTCTTTGAACAGAGACTTTCCACGGGCTTTATATAACAGTAATATGTGTTCACGGAGGTGCACCACACGTATTTTCATATTATTAAACGGTATTTCCGCATTGGCGAACACACTCGAAGCAGTTGCATAAGGTCACGGGAGCATGACAACGCATATTTTCACAAGCACACAGTCCCCCATTGTCAACCCTGGTTTGAGTTCTGGTGAAGCCTGGTGTGGGTCCTATTTTGGCTGTTTACGAGTTTTTTCAGTCTGCTCGCTCAGTCCGCTAATGTCCCCGTGACCACTTTGCAGCACTCTGATTGGTCGCTACACGAACGTCCCAAGGAAAGGATGAGCAGAATCATTTCCTGTGGGCGTAAATTTTTTGCTCCTGTTCCTCCCCTTTGACTTTCCCGCCAAGTCTGTGCGTCTCTACTGAACAGTCCGTCAGTGCGTGCCGAGAGGTCGGTGCGTTTTGACGGTCGAACCCTCGTCACCATAGACTTTGCATTGAAAGCCGACGCAACACATGATCTGGACTGAAAGCACCATAAGATTTTTAGCCTTCCCTAACCATTTGCTAAACTGAAGAGGACTGTTTTAAGCCTAGCCTTAAAAGTAGAGACCCCGACCAAAGGAGAGACAGCATTCATGGGTAGGCTAGCCCAGCATACAGCATCAAAGAAAATGTGTAATCAACGATATATACATCTAGTTAAGTGAGGTTCATGTTTGTAACAAAGGTTGAAAGATGCAGCGGTTCGCCCGACTTGGTCCAGTACAAGCAGACTCCAAAACCAGACACACAGCCTAACCATATGCTAAATTGAAGAAGAGTGTTTTAGGCCTGGCCTTGAATGTAGAGACCGGGTCTGCTTCCTTGACGTGGATGGGAAGCTGATTCCACAGTAAAGGAGCTTGGTAGCTAAATGCTCTGCCGCCGACAGTGCTTTTGGAGACTTTAGGAACCACCAGACGTCTGCCGTTTTGTGAGCGCAACGCTCGACTTGGTTGATATGACACTAACGTGTCTTGAAGATAAGAAGGAGCCAAGCCATTTATGGTTTTGTATGTTTAAAGAAGGATTTGAAACTAAGCAAGTAAGCAATTAATCTTTATTTATACACCGCCTTTCACAGACCAGAGTCACAAAGTGGTTTACCATTTTGGGGCAATTGTCTTCTCACTCCACACAGAGATGGGAAACCTACGCAGACACAGGGAGAACATGCAAACTGCACTCAGAAAGGCCCTGTTCCGACCGGGATTCAAACCCAGGACCTTTGTGCTGAGACCCGAGAGCGTTATCCACTCAGCCACCGTGCCGCCCAAAACTTTATTCTGTACTCCACAGGGAGCCAGGGGAGTAACATTAACACTGGAGTTATGTGCTCCCTCCTTTTGTACCTGTTAAGATCCTTGCTGCTGTATTTTGAAGCTCTTCAAAGAGGCTTTAGGGCACGCTGCCATTAAAGCGTTACAGTAGTCAAGCCTTGAGGAGATAAAAATTGTGGATCAGATTTCCCGCTTCACTTTAGGAAGGATATTCTTGATTTTAGCGATGTTCCACAAGTGGAAATAAGCCGTTTTAGTTGCTTGGTTTCTCATTCTAAGGGAGACATTTCTTGCATCTTTTATAAACAATATCATTTTACTTTGTTCCATTGGCCAATCTTATTTTAAAGCAGTCAGAATGTGCTCAAATTAAGATTTTGCCAAATTTGAGATTTTTTAAAAGTATTTTTCATCCCTGCAGTGTAACTTTGTCTTTGGTGTTGGAAAAGGGAGCGATCGAATCCAGACAAAGGATCCCAAGTTAAAGATAGCGTCTGTGTGTGTGTTATCAGCCCTGGCGCGGTTTCCTCTCGGACAGGAAATGGACGTCCGCTGACTTCCTGCTGTGGAGTTTGGCCTCTTGTCGAACAATCAGTGTAATACAAGTGTGTGAGAGAGAGAAACAAGCAACGCTGAAATCAGACTAGAATATGGAACAGAAAGGCTTTGGGAATAATGTGAACAGGACGGAGAGACACTAGCAATGGATTACGAGCCAAAGAAATCCAGAAAGGTACAGAAAGCTAAAGTTTGTTTATATAGGAGCAGAGAAGATGTAACAGTAGTTAACAGACAACAGACTGTATGGATTCTGAGCATTTTCTTCGTAATTGCTTGTCCTTTTGTTTGTTCGCTAATATTTTTTTCTTAATTACACCATATTTTGAATAATTAAAGTGTAGTGGTGGGGAAAAAATCTATTCTGTTCAGTGTCACAATAGTGAATGGATAAAGTAAAAATACAAATTTGAAGTAAAATGTTGACTCTGACATCTGACTATGATGTCTGCTTATTGTGACTCTATGATGTCTGCTGGTTGTGACTCTATGATGTCTGCTTATTGTGACTCTATGATGTCTGCTTATTGTGACTCTATGATGTCTGCTTATTGTGACTCTATGATGTCTGCTTATTGTGACTCTATGATGTCTACTTATTGTGACTCTATGATGTCTGCTTATTGTGACTCTATGATGTCTACTTATTGTGACTCTATGACGTCTGCTGGTTGTGACTCTATGATGTCTGCTTATTGTGACTCTATGATGTCTGCTTATTGTGACTCTATGATGTCTGCTTATTGTGACTCTATGATGTCTACTTTATGTGACTCTATGATGTCTGCTTATTGTGACTCTATGATGTCTGCTTATTGTGACTCTATGATGTCTGCTGGTTGTGACTCTATGATGTCTGCTTATTGTGACTCTATGATGTCTACTTATTGTGACTCTATGATGTCTGCTTATTGTGACTCTATGATGTCTACTTATTGTGACTCTATGATGTCTGCTTATTGTGACTCTATGATGTCTGCTTATTGTGACTCTATGATGGCTGCTGGTTGTGACTCTATGATGTCTGCTTATTGTGACTCTATGATGTCTACTTATTGTGACTCTATGATGTCTGCTTGTTGTGACTCTATGATGTCTGCTGGTTGTGACTCAGATATATACTAGTTGTGACTCTATGATGTCTGCTTGTTGTGACTCTATGATGTCTGCTTGTTGTGACTCTATGATGTCTGCTGGTTGTGACTCTATGATATATACTAGTTGTGACTCTATGATGTCTGCTGGTTGTGACAAGTCAGTTGTATGTGAATAATGAAGTGATGTGCTGGTAGCTCATTCATGTGAGAGTCTTCTTTTCAGAGAATAATAATGGCTTGTCTGTAATATGGCCCTGTGTCCTGATTTTGGGCAGCAAAAGTGTTTCAAAGCAAGCAGGTCCTGAGTTCGATTCCACCTCCAGACCTGTGTGGAGTATGCATGTTCCCTTTAATGTTCTACCCATAAAAGAATCTATCATATACATTTTTATATTTAATCAAAAGGTTATCGTTTGGTGAGCTACTTAAAAGAGTGTCGAGCAACTGGTAACTCCCGAACGATAGGTTGGAAACACATGCCTTAACTTGTGCTCAATATATATGTATATATTTATGTCCATTGTCCATTGACCTAACCTGAAGCCTGGTGTGATAGGGTTTTGCGTCGCCCATCAAGCGCCTGGTCTGGTCCAGGTCCGGTCGGCGAGCTGCAGAGCGAGTCTACCGACGACCTCTGCACACGCTGCCTCTGTATGCTCCAGATTACCTCATCCACCCAGAGAGGCTCATCTTTGACTATGTGGAGAAGGAGGTCAAGGTACTTTGGATCTTTTACAAAATGTTTGATGCAATTTTGGTTGAATTTTAGGTTGTCACGCAATGCACAGGTAGTGATTTTCCACTTAAAGTCTTGGTTCTAAAGGCCGAAGCTAGCACCGTGGCAGCTGTTAATTGGACTGTCTATGAGACCTCCTTTGTATTATATAACATGCATGCTGTAAAATCCTTGTTTGTGTCTCTTTACCATCAACATTAAAACAAGTCTTCTGTCTGCAACACTATCTCAGACACAATCTCAGAGAGTTTCATGGTGTTGATTTTGTTTTTTTACTTGGTTTTATTGTGACCTATGTGTTTTTAGTTTAGTTTTACTTCCTGTACCTGTGTCTGTATGTACCTGTCTCTCCGTGTCTATTTGTAGGCAAGGCAATACCGCAGCTATTTTGGACAGACCTGTGAGCAGGCCATTGCAGTAGTCTAACCTACTGGAGACAAATGCATGGAAAAGTAGTCAGTTTTAGACACTGTGTTTCTGATCCTGGCATTGTTTTTTAGGTAGTAAAAAGTTGCTGATGTTACTGATTTGATGTGGCTATTAAAATCCAGTATTACCCATAGATTTCTGACCTGATTAGAAGGTTTTAGGTAGATGGACTGTAGGTGACAGATGACGCTCTCTCGTTGTGTCTGGGGACCAAAAACAATCATTTTGGTTTTGTCTGTGATTAGCTGGAGAAAGTTATTTTGCAGCTCACTCACTGATCTGTTGGATACAGTGAAGGAGTGAGTATGGGTCTGAGTGTTGTCTGTTACTGTGTATTCAATCTGAAGAGACCGAAACATTAATGCATGAAAAAGATTCATTTGATTGGCAAATTGACCCTGGCAGTGACACTTGCAGAAGTGCAGAAGTGTGGCTAGAAGCATGGTGTGAATCGGGCTTAGGCGGAGCAGGAGCCAGAGCAGGAGCCAGGGCAGGAGCCAGAGCAGGAACCCCATCAGGAGCCAGAGCAGGAACCAGAAGCTTGAGGAGGTGCTGAGGAGGCGGTGGATGTTAAGAGCTTAAGGAAGCGCTGTTTATCAGGAAGTGGCTGCTTTTAAACTCCCCGCTTTGCTGTCAGCGGGTTAGCAAGAGGCTGGCCGGGCTGTGTGATTGGCAGAGGCTCGAGAGGCTGGCCGGGCTGTGTGATTGGCAGAGGCTCGAGAGGCTGACAGAGCTGTGTGATTGGCTGGCCCCGGACTGGTGAGAGCTGTGGCCGGTCTTTCAGCTTCATTTAACTGAGCTAATAGCAGCATTTAGAGATTGAAAAGAAGAGGTCCCATAATCGACCCCTGTGGTACTCTACAGTTCAGGGCCATATGATCTGAGACACAGTTTCAAATCTCCACAAAGTACTTCTTGTCTTCAAGGTAAGAAGGCTGTGCCAGCGACACCAACCCAGTCCTCTATGTACCTGTGTCTATTTGTACCTATACTCCTCTGCCCTTGTTGCTGGTCCATAATGTCTGTCCATGTCTGTTCCTGGCTCTTTCTTTCCTAGACACAAGGCAACACAATACACCTCACAACTCATATCATATCGAGCATAAATCAAAAACATTAAAAAATACAATTAATCTCCCACAGGGGAATGAACACGAACATTTAAGTCGCAAGAAATACAATAAAATCACACAAGTAATTAAAATCATAAACACCCACAGTGCATTAAAAAGTGTAAAAATAAAACAGATAAAACTCCTTCAATTGTCTGCACGGCTAAACAAAACAGTTTTTAACCTGGGTTTGAAAACTGAGTAGACGCCTGTCACCATTAAATCATTATTTTTTCTGTATTTTGGGTCCTCCTTCCTTCACTCCATGACACACAGGCCCTTATCCGGGCTGATCCACATGACTGAAATGTTTATGGATCAACATCAGAAGCATTAAGTTTATTGACTGTACATAAAGATATGATCACAAAGTTCAGGAATTGAAAGGTATTTTGATATTAAATTCCGTATCTGCATCCAGAAACACGGTCTTCCATCCTCTGTCTGTGAATGTTAATAAATGACTTAACCAGACACATGTTTTTTAAATTTAAATCTGCAGTGTTTTTCTGTCTCTCACTGTCGCCATGTGGACTTGCAGTTTCTGGGTCATCTCACCTGGGTGTCCGTGTCCTTGAACCCGTCAAGTCGAGATGAGCTGCTGCAGCTCTTGGACACTGCAAGAGTGAGTAGAGTTAGAAGTTATGAGTACAGTATGTAATCCAAATCTTTTTAAGTGTTTGATGGCTATGATACAGTATTTATACAATGTTTGTTCATCGTCCATTTAACTGTACTAAGTGAGAACAAGTGAAACAGCAACAGCCTCAGTCCTGGATCTACAGCCTCAGTCCTGGATCTACAGCCTCAGTCCTGGGTCTACAGCCTCAGTTCTGGATCTACAGCCTCAGTCACAGACACAGACATTCTGTCAAATTAATCTATAGCCAGTCCCTCCTGGAAAAAGAAAAAGTTAAATAAAATGGATTAGAAATACATTTTAAAAAAACAAGGTGCCTAAAGAAAGTACAGTTCAATTAAAAATACATATGTATGCACATAAACTCACCAACCTCTTTATTAGGTACACCATGCTAGTACCTTGCTTTGCCGGAGGTGCTGGAAACATTCCTCGGAGAGTTTGGTCTATATTTCAATCAATCAATCAATCACATTTTATTTATAAAGCGCTTTTCATACAAAAGATGCAACACAAAGTGCTTTACAGTTTGGTTAAAAACAATCCCGCCGACCCAAGACCCCTCCCCCAGACCACCCAACAGACCCACCCCAAACCACAGACAAACACACACACGCGCTCATGAACACTCATACACAAACACACACACACACACACACACACACACACACACACACACACACACACACACACACACACACACACACACACACACACACACACACACACACACACACACACACACACACACACACACACACACACACACACACACACCAGTAAAACAATAAAACCATGATGAGAGACTTGGCAGGGTTCAGATGCAACCAGCTGATAGCAACATGCAGTTTCTGCAGATTTGTCGGCTGCACATCGATAATGCGAATCTCCTGTTCCACCACATCCCAAAGTTGCTCTATTGGATTGAGATCTGGTGACTGTGGAGGCCATTACAGTACAGTGAGCTTATTGTCATGTTGAAGAAATCAGTCTGTGCTGATTTTAACTTCATGACAAAGGGTTTTATCCTGCTGTAAGTATAGCCATCAGAAGATACACTGGGGTCATAAAGAGATGGACATGGTCAGCAACAATTCTCAGGTGGGTTGTGGCGTGGCAGCGATGCTCAATTGGTACTAAGGGAAGAATGCCAAGAAAATATCCCCCACACCGTTACACCACCACCACCAGCCTGAACCGTTGATACAAGGCAGGATGGATCCATGCTTTCATGTTGTTGACTCCAGACTGACCCTACCATCCGAATTTCGCAGCAGAAATCGAGACTATTCAGTCCTTGTTTTTTTTTGTTTATTTTACAGGGACATTGTGCATCAATAAACATGTCTGTAAAAGGGTGACAGTAGCTCAGTTGGTAGAGCATTGGCCTTTGAGCCAGAGAGTCGTTGGTTCGAGCCCGACTTTCACCATCGACTCCCACTGTCTGCTGTTGTTGTGTCCTTGGCAAGACACTTAACCTCTGGGAACACCAGCCACAGTGGGACGGCTGTAAAGTGCCAAACTGCCGTTGTTTCCTTAGGCAAGACACTTCACCCCCGTTGCCTAGAATGAGTCTGGTGTGTGTGTGAATGGTTGGTGGTGGTTGGAGGGGCCGATGGCGCATACTGGTTGCCTCGCTTCTGTCAGTGTGCTTGTGTATGGAGTGAAAGAATAATGACATGTAAAGCGTCTTTGAGTGTCCAAAAAAGCGCTATATAAAACCAATGCATTATTATTAAATGCTGCAGAATTAGTCACGATGGCTATTTTTCATCTGCAGTCCCTGGACAGGTGTACATAGTCTCCCTAAAGATAATAACAGTAAAAGTCATACAATAATAAAAAAGCAGAACAACACAGACAGTAAACAAACTAGAACACACACATCATATCATACAATAAAAACAGGTCACATACAAAAGAGATATTTATAAAGCAATGAGTAAATTGACCTAAACTAATGCTTACATGTCTGCTGTGTTACTAAACCCATTTTTCAGATGTATTTTCAAGAGTGAGTATGATGTAAATTCTCTGATTTCTCTGATGTTTGTGGTTACAGAGAACGCACTCTGACCGAAGGCGCTCCGTCTCAGAGGAACCAGGCAGCCCCCTCGTGCCGCCCCTCTGGTTACCCTCTGAGACAGAATGGTGTTCATGATGTGGACAAACTGACTGAGTGGAGGAGATGACTGATTGTGGATTATTTTGTTTATTAAACAAAGCTTTGAATACTTGATGAACAACACTAAAACCAATAGCATCATTACACAAACGGACAATAAAAGTACTGGCAAAGTAAAAGTATTGCTGCTTGCAGTATTGCTGCTTGCAGTGATAGTTGTGACCTGATGAACCGAAAATCTGAAAGATTGAATTTGGCTTGCTGACAGACCTTTTTTACTTAAGATTTGAGTCTAATGTGATGCCCAGATATTTGTATTCTGAAAATAGTGTCCTTTGATTTTAACCTTAGCATTTCAATCATTCTTTGCCATTGTTTGAAAGTATTTATTGTAGTATAATTCTGATTGTCAATTTTATTTAACCTTTGCCCTGACAAAATGTGGGATCTTAGTGAGTCTACCAAATCCATTTCTATTATTTTTGATGTAAGAGTTATTCTCCTTTTTTGTCAGCTTCTGTAACATCAGTGTGCTTATGATTTTGTGTTCTTACACTTGTGTTTTTCTTGATTGTGCCCGTGATACTGGCCGTGGCCTCAATCTGATTCTGGCGGATGTCTTTCAAGTTGTTTCTAATTTGTGTTATTTCATTTCATAAACATAGCTCTCTGGTCTGTGTGGACATTTTCCCAAACACCTGCCAAAATAAATCTGTTTGTATTCTCACCAATAACTGTTTGATGGGAAACACATTGATGGTCTTCCTGTGTTTGCTGGTGAGCAGCAGCTGAAGGTCCTGCCCCTGAAGACCAGTGTGGAGCAGGACTGCATCCTCAGCCTCTCAGCTCGCTGCCTGCTGCTGACCTGGAGAGACAACGAGAAACTCCTGATGCGAGTCCCCACACACGAGATTGCTGCTGCCTCCTACTTGCGAGATGATGCACTGCACCTGCTCGTGCTCAAGACAGGTACACAAGACAACACACAAAAATGTTACCTGCAAATCAATAAATCAGGCACCATTGTATACTAATCTTGTCATTACTTGCCTGAAAACTGAACATGAATATTTCAATCTTTTGTAAACATTTTATTTTAAAGTCAAAGTGGTAAATTTTGGTTGTGAATGGCTAACTTTACTTGTGGATACAAGACTTCAATTTATCAGCTTTCTATTAATCTCACAGTAATTATACAATAATTGTGTGGCCCTCCCGATGGAGCGGTAGCATTCTCGCAGAGGTCCCGCGCTGCGTCAGAGGGCAGTGACCAGGACAGCGTTCACAGCGTTCAGTACTGCAGCTGTGGGGCCACTCACTGGGACAGGATGTCATGAGTCTCCCGGGATCCAGGCCATGTCAGAGGGAGAATGACAGTAATCCTTTTAAGGCACAGCTTTTAAAAGTCATCCAACCGTTTTGCACAATCGAAACAAATGGTAAAAGCGTGGGTTTAAAAGACGAGAGCAGTCTCAGTCTGTGGTGGGGTCTCTTTCAACTAACGCAATCATGAAAGTATCAAAAGAATGCGGGAAACCACCCAACCTGGCAACCCTGAGTAGTGTCGTTTCCGACAGCAGTTAAACCAGTACTTAAACCAAATGTTACACAAAAATGTTACTCTTAAAATACAGTATAACTACATGGAACCATCAACATCTCGCCTCATATTGCATTAAAAGTGACAAATGTGTCGTATTTAAACTTTGTAATAGAATTCACAGACTTTATGTCTGCCATCTTGGTTTGTTTTGGCTGCCGTGAGACACGCACGAGATGGCGGTGCAATTCGACGTTACACCGGCAATCCTGATTAGGGTGACCACCTGCTAATAAGCCCAAGGGGGGGACAAGGGTATGTTTCCGAGGGACAATGTGGGACACTACCTGGTGCGGCGGTGCCCCCACCCCACGGGCAGACTCACTGCCCTGATTCTAGCCCATACCACCTTACATGGTATATTAATAATGCCCTATTCCCCTAAACATGCGTAATTGCTGATTTATGCTCATGAATAGGGCAACCAATGTGTATTTTCTTCTAAATAAAGATTCATAATATTTTGAACATTGAATTGAATGAATTGACAGATGCATTTCCACGTATGTTTTACTTTAGCTATCTAATTTTATTTATTTTTCATAACAATTTATTCACTTGAATTATAAGGAATTATAACATGGATTGATAGGATTATCAATAGGAATCGTAGTTGCTTTGTTGTACCCACACCTTCTCTTTTTAATTGATGATGGCGCTGCCTCAGACTGAGTCTCTTTCTCCATTTTTCTAATTGGAAAGCGGCGAGTGCGCGCATCCCAGTGTGTCTAGTGCAGTGTTGGGCACGTTACTTTGAAAAAGTAATTAGTTATAGTTACTAGTTACTTCTCCCAAAAATAAAAAAATAAAACTAGTTACTAGCAAAAGTAACTATTGCGTTACTTTTTTGTTTTGTTCTGGAACATAATGTGCACTCAATGTTCGCATTTTTACCTTTAACCTCAGTGAGTTTGAAATAGTGCCAATATTTCCATCTAGAAAAGTCTGTTTTGCTGCTTTAGTCCTGTTCACTCTTCATCTCTCTCTGTGCTGTAAGCACTAAACACCAACACCCGCCACTGTGAATGTGGAAACACCGGTGAAGCACTGACTTCAGCCCAATCAGATGAACATATATCATATCATATAAATCAAGTGGACAATTTGTTTGGCTACAGCAGAATATGTTTCATGCCCGCATTGTTTGTTCATACAAAACGCAAAACTATGAGTTATGGGTCTTACTTTATAAATGACCTGCACAGACCACTTCGGTTCAGACCAGTTCTGTGTTTAAGTCCAGATAATAGTTTGAGCGTAGATATGTAATCCTCAATTTGGAAATGAGTTTTAAAAAGTAAAACAAAACGCGTGTGTCCTCCGTAAACTACTCTGTTTTGCTAGCTGCAGCCGGGTGCATCCAATTTCTAAAATCAACCGTCTTACACTTCACCTTTCTTTCTTATCATTTCTATAGTCATTGAAAAAATTACCCTAAGTGCATTTTAAATTATCTTAAAATGTGTTATATGTATGTTAGCCAAACCTGTTGCTGCCCTCAGCAGATAAACCAGGAAGAGAAAGGAGCTTATCGATGGAATTGTATGCAGCCGACTTCTGCGCTCAAATGCGCTCCTCTGAGGCCTCACGGTGATACAAGCCGTGGTTGAGCGCGATTAAGACCCATATTTGTTTCAAAAACACAATTTATGACCATCCTCTCAACTGTAGACATGTAGATTGTAAAGGAAATATGTTTTACATCAGCCAATAATTGCTGATTATTATCAATTCTCGCATGACAACACACGCACGAGTCCTATCACGAAGTAAAAAGAGAAGTTCATTGTGCGTCTTGAGTAACGCGCAGTAACGGGATGTCGGAAATGATAACGGCGTTATAGTTACAGTCAAAGTAATTAGTTAGATTACTCGTTACTGAAAAAAATAACGGCGTTAGTAACGCCGTTATTCCCATCACTGGTCTAGTGTCTAGTATGCTAAGTTGTTGTCAACAAAAAAGTTGACAACAACTTAGTCAGAAGTTTAACTGAGGGGTGGGTGGGGCAGTAGCGTGTTGAACTGTCAAGTAATGTTCGTTTGGCTGCCTGCGGCTCGAGGATATAGCGAGACCAATTTTGTTGTTGTTGCAAGCATTGATTAATGATTATGCGTGACACGGTCTGAATTTGCGGGACGCATGAATTGGGCTTCAAACGCTGTGCGCGCACGCGCTATGCGGAACGGGTGGTCACCCTAATCCTGATTGGTTACTTATTTTTGCTATGGCTAATCACTATGGCATCCAGACTGCTCTTTTTTAGGAGGGGCCTTGTGACTGCAGTTTTCAGGGCCTTTGGAAATGTTCCCGAATTAAGAGACATGTTTACAATTTTGCGTGAAATAGAAATGTGGGTAAATACATCCAAGCTGCACGAGGAGGAGCTCAGAGTTGTGACGATCTCTTGGACAGTTGCTTGGACAATGCAATTTTTTGATGCCTTGAACATTGGCATTGAAAAAGATTTGCAAACATATTACATTTACTTTTGTAAGTTAGTTTATTTCAGCTGAACAGGGGGGTTGTTAATCTATTAACTGTTGAAAACAGAACACACAGATTGTTACTGTAGCCTTTAATCATTTCAGAAAAATACAGTTCTCTCGTTCTACGTAGCACCCGGCTACGTAGAAAATCTCGTAATAAACTTTGTGGTTGGACTTGCGCCACTTCCGCTCGGCCCTCCAGCACTCTCTCTTCTGTGCCTTGACCGAATCCTCTTGAATCAATGGTGCTTTCTGTTTTTTTCACAATTTTAACCTTCGAAGGACAAATAATGTCAAAAATACACAAAAATTATCCTGCAGAACAACAATAACCACACCCTCTGATGTGGGTGGGGCCACTCACGTGCTGAGTGATACCAGAGGTTTCAAGTACAGAACTTAGCTCTTAAGCGTTTCTGTCATTATCCACATCACCTGTAATGATTTCTCCAATAAAGTCTGTGCATGCAACTGAAAGAAACTCAGTTAAATTATCAGTTAAACTGTGACATGACTGCGGCAGCTTGTAGAACCATGAAGAGTATTGGAGATTTTTTTTTTTTGGAATCAGGATGCCAAAACAGAATTGTGTGCAAAATTTCAATTATTTTGAAAGAACAACAACTTGGGAGACTGACGCGTGCAGACCGTTTGACTAATCCAAATGTTGTTGCTAACTTTTGATCTTACACATGTGTTTAGATGATGAGGAGCAAATTTCAGCCAAATTAATGGAACGGCCGAGACTGGTTTGTTGTTTGTGGGAGGTGTACATTTCAGATCTGACATTTTTCCCATTGACACAGAATGGGGAGTGTTTCTCATCGCCATGACAACAGGGTAAAAAATAAGTCTTGGGTCTCATTGAAATATTTAAACAAGAGGGCAAAACAGAATTATGTGCAAAATTTCAAACATTTTGAAAAATCTAAATATGTTTATCCCATGTAAAACTGACATAGTCTGTAGGGGGCGCTAATGGGCCAATTTTATTTGTACACTTTCAGGTGACCTTGACTCTGGAGTTGAACAATCAACTCAAATATAATATAAATTGGACTTTGTATGTGCAAACGTAAGCAAATCTTAATTTCTCAAAAATTGAAAAAATACAAAAATTGCCTCTCCGCTTCACAAACAACGTTTAACTGATTAAAATTCTGCGGCTAATTATTGATGGTAAATGTGTTTAGATGATGTGGAGCGAATTTGGGCCAAATATTTAAATTGGAGCCAAATCGGCAAAACGGCTGAGGCTGGTCCATTTTCCAACCGACATGACAATAATGAGTGTGATAATTATCAATTTTAATTAATTGAAATTAATGGGCTTCCTGTTTGTCAGGGGGTGTGGCCATAGTAACTTTGTTCATGTCTTGAGTTGAGGAACATGTGTACCTGATTTTTGTGGCTCTACATCAAACTTGACCTTGAACCCCTCCCATAGGCGCAAAGTAAACAGTAAGTAAGTAAGTAAGCTTTATTTATATACCGCCTTTCACAGACCAGAGTCACAAAGCGGTTTACAATTGTTATTTTTTGGGCATTTGTCTCTCACTCCACACAGAGATGGGAGCGGGGTCGCCGAACAGGAGGCGCATGCCAGAACTATTGTACATATTTTTAGTGGTAGGGGAAACCGGAGTACCCGGAGGAAACCTACGCAGACACGGGGAGAACATGCAAACTCCACTCAGAAAGGCCCTGGTCCGGCCGGGATTCGAACCCAGGACCTTCTTGCTGAGAGGCGAGTGCTATCCACTCAGCCACCATGCCGCCCAACAGACTTTTGTAAGGGGCACTGTTTTGCAATTTTCTTTGTCCCAAAAAATAAACGCCGGAATTGAATTTTGGGAAGCATTTTGTAACTTTGCATCCATGTTTGAGGGGGGAGAATTAAGGTCAAAGAGCAGAAGAAAATAGAAAGAGAGAATGAAAATCCAAAAGTGGGAAATTCAGAAAATCTTTGAGCAAAAAATAAGTTTCCATGTTGACGTATAATACAAATGATGCACTGTTTTAAAGTGAATGAGCGGACAAACGCAACTATCACAATCTCGTGCCTCCGGCACGGATTTGTCAGGGTTTGGGCACACGCTGTAAATGGATTGGGTATTACTAGTTTAAAGATGTTCCACCAATGGGAGTGCGGTACTGCAGAATAAATTCACGTGGGCTACCTAGAAAAAGCCATCGAGTTGAATTGGGCGCCATCATGGATCACTGGGGCTTGGTTATAATATCTGGGGCTGGCCTATTAACAAATGTAAAGCACTAAACAACAACTGGGCCAGAGATACTGGCTGCCATTTCCAGCGCATTCAGAAGTAAATCGATTGAGTACAGACCAGCACTCATTTTTGAAAATCAACACTATTGAGTTGGACAGATCTGGTTCAGGACTCTCAATAGTCTTTTCTCTTTCCAGGTTTGAATGTGGACACGGTGGTTGCCGGCGACAACAGCCCGGAATGCAAAAAGTCCAGTGGATCCAACAGCCGCCGCCAGAGCGTCTCCAGCGGAAACAACGACCCACGACCAGCAGGGGGCACAATGGAGCGCCGACACACTATTTGCGGACTGGACTGGAGGCCCTCCCTGTCCCGGGGCAGCCATGACAAGAACCAGAGGGAGAACCAGAGGGAGAACCCAGGGGAACGAGGAGCCACTGGAGGAAGCCTGGAGAGGAAGAGGGTGTCTGGAAGCTGGGAGAGAAGACTTCCTGGTCGGAAACCAGGAGGGAGCTGGGAAAACCGCCGTGCTCGTCCCATGAGCGGCAGCTGGGAGAGAGGTAGGTTCACTCTTTTTCTTCCTATTTAGCCTTTCTTTATTATGCTACAGTTAGAGATTTCATACTTGATTTTTGTTATTCTAAAGTTACAGATTTTCTTATATTTTAGTATAGTTTTTTTTTTCCTGGTGATGTAACACTGACATTCCCCCCAACACTGAATGAAGGACCTCTTCATCTCTAATCTTTATGAATTGTTTGTTGATTCAATGATCAAGGACATTCAGGACTATGGACACACTGATTGTGATGACTTTACGGAGCTGTCTAGCATTTTTAGCTGAGTCTAAATCTGAGCGATTCAGAGACATAGATCGAGGTCAGATAGGAGGAAACAGGCGGTAGTGATGAACTGCACGGAGAGATGGAAGTACACGTTCACCTGCTCATACCGTGCAAGAGGGGAGCGCGTTGTGTGTGAGTTGCGAGTGGGGAAGCAGACAAGTGTGTTGTTGGCCAATCAAAACTTTGTAAATTCCTCCGTGACAACTGCTCTTGTGATTTAGGACCAGTGTTGGGGAAGTTGGGAAGTTGACAGTGGCTCAGTTGGTAGAGCCTGAAGGTTGCAAGAAGCCCACCGCAAGACCTACTTCACGACCCCCACCGATGTCTGCTGTTGTTGTGTCCTTGTGCAAGACACTTAACCCCACTTTGCCTGAAGCCCCCGCTGAAAGATCAAGCCTTGTGTGGACCAACCACCTGCAGGAGGATCATTGAGGGGCTGGTGCTCTGTGTACTGGGTACTGGCTGCCTCCCCCCGACCCTGAAATGGAATAAGGGGAAGAAAATGGATGGATAGATTACTTTGGGTCACAAAAAAGAACAGAATCATGATTGTACGTTTGATTTATTAAAGTAATTTAAATAATGGTCAACTACAAAAAAGTTGTTCAAAACTGGCTAAAATGGCAGAACATGAACATGGAAGTAAATGTAGCCAGGTCACTTCCTCCTGTAGCACTTCGCCAGATGTTTAAAAATGTTTTTAGTGTCTCTTGAAATGTCTGTTCTGTTTTGTATTTTATGGAAATGTTTTTGTGAAAGACAACGACTCTCTTCTACGACGTACATAAGGATATTTGTTTCCGTCTTTGAGGTTTTCTGAGTCCAGGTTTGTAGTTTAATAGTTGAGTGTTGACCATAGATTGTGTGACGCTGAAAGTGTTTTAAGAGGTTCGAGGATGAGTTGGCTGCATATAGTTAAAATGGTGCATATCTTCTTTAGTAAAACAAAACAATCTCACTCTTGTGCTCAATGTGACATGAGCACCAGGCATCATGCAATCTGGGTTTCTCTCGTTTTCCCGGTTTGCTCGGCACTTGCTCAGGTGTGATGTACTTTGCTGTCAAAAGTGTTTTTCTTCCCACGCAGTTTACACTGATCAAACCAACGCACTGCCTTGTCGAGACACACTGCCTCAGCTGTTTATGATGTAATGCAAACATGAACATCAAACCAAGATGGCGGACAAGTCTGTGAAATGCTTTTATAATTTAAATACAAACTAATTAATACAGCTTATAGCTAAAAGCTTACAACTGGTCTGTCAGGTTGATAAAGGCAATACTAAACCAAACCGACCCAGAAATGGATTGATGGATGGATCATATTCCCTCCTTTTTATTATTTTGATAAATCAAACAATCTATGTTTAAACATGGAGAACATGGATAACTCAAAATGAAAAAAAAAAAACACATCAAAACTGAAAAAGAAAATTTTTCATAGTGTAATTTCATAACTAATCTCAAAACTGAACAATGTATTAACTTTGAAATGCATTAACTTTAAATGTATTCACTTTGGTTATCAATTTCAACACTGCGCACGGCCAAAGCCCAAAAACCCAAAATCCATTCTTACAGTCCATTTAACCCCAGCCCAACGTCCATATTTGACACTTCCTCTCGACCCCCTCTTCAATATGTGGAATTGACCAGAAATTTTCACCTGCTCCTGTTTTGAAACTCTTCTCCGTCTGCGTTTCCGACGCCAGACCAGTAGCAAGCCGTTCTCCAAACTGGACACAAAGCTGAACTTTCACTTCTCAAATGCACCAAAATGTCACCTTCAATTCTCACGTCCATTTAACTTGAACAAAGGCCACCCAAAATGGCGGTCTATCTACTTTTTGCAATGTCCAATTCCAAATTTTTAGAGTATTTAGAGGTCTTTAAATGTCCAATTTCAATTTAGCTTATTTAGATATCCATATTCATATACTGTAGATATATGTAGATATATCCAATTTCATTTTAGAAGTAATGTAGAAGTTCAGTCCGAAGTAATTCAATTCTAACACATTCATTCGTAACTGGGCATAAAATGACTATTTAAAACCATTTTACAGTTACCTTAATACATAACTCTGCGTTACCCTTTTGAATGAAACCCCGTTCATTCGAGCTCTGTAAAAGTCCTTGACGCAGGATAACTCTGCGTTATCCTAAATGAATGCCCCGTTCGTCGAGCTCCACACTACTCTCTTGAATTAGTCCTGGACATAATTCGTAGTGTAATAAAGTCATTGTAGTCCTGGAACAGTCTTATGGTGCTTTAGGACCGGATCATGCGTTGCGTCGGCTTTCAATGCAAAGTCTATGGTGACGCGCGTTTGAGCGTCACAACGCACCGACCTCTCGGCACGCATGGACGGACTGTTCAGTAGAGACGCACGGACTTGGCGGGAAAGTCAAAGGGGAGGAGCAGGAGCGAAAAATCGACGCCCACAGGAGATGGATTCTGCTCATCCTTTCCTTGGGACGTTTGTGCGGCAACCAATCAGAGAGCAGCAAAGTGGTCACGGGGACATTAGCGGACTCAACTCAGGGTTGACAATGGGGGACTCTGTGCTTGTGAAAACATGCATTGTCATGCTCCCGTGACATTATGCAACTGCTTCGAGTGTGTTCGCCGATGCGGAAATACCGTTTAATAGTATGAAAAAACGTGTGGAGCACGAAGCCTCCGTAAGCCTTGTGTACAGCATCTGTACACAAGAAGCCGCTAGCTAAACTCTGTTAGCATCATAGCCTGCCGGCTACTTCCGGCCCTTCCGGCACTTCCGGTGCTGGCCAGGACGTTCTGGTGTGAAGTCCTCTGCGTCTGAAAACTAGAGAATGCGCGTCTGGTGAGCGGGGCTTCAGCGTTTCAGCGTTGGCGGTCTGAATGCACCATTAGTGAAGTGTCGCAGATGAACAGATTTGTTGCGGATTTTAGAGGCAGATCACTGTGAAAAAAATTAAGCTGCATTCTTCCTCTTTGGGCCAAATAATGTGTCAGTGTTTTGGGGTGTTTTTTTTTTTTTTTTAGAAAGATCATTCTCGAACCAAAGCTTGAAGGAATCAATGAAACAACTACTCTCGGCATGTTTATGAAGGCCAAATAGCACTGTATTGATGTGTAAAGTAGAGAAAGGTCAAAAAGTGTACCTTTAAAGACAGTCAGAATGTACTCAGATTATGCTAAAAACCACTCGAGTCAAGCGATTAATTTGTATACTTGTTTGCAGTGTAAGACAAAAGGCATATAGAGACAGACAATAACAATTTCTTACCCAAGCTAACATTCTCAAAACTGCCTCTTCTCCGCAGAGAGGAGGCTGGGCACCAGCAGCTGGGAGCGCCGAGGGACGGACGGCAGCTGGGAGCGTCGGCAGGCCTGCACCGGGAGCTGGGAACGCGGCAAGAGCTACGGGAGCTGGGAGAGGAGGAACCACAACCCCCTGGAGCCCACGCCCTGCCCTGACGCCTACTGCAACTTGGTCATCCTGGCAGTGGAGAACCGGGTGGGTCTAGTGAAGTGCGCCTAGCTTCCTGGTTTCCATCACCTCTCGTATCCAAACTCAAATAAGTAAGGAATAATATATAGAACGCAGGTTATTATCGGAAAAAAAGTACAGACAGTGTGTACCTGTGGTGTATCTGTTGGTAAGGTGAACGTCAGACTAAAGTAGTGTCGTTGGAAGCTCGTTGACGAAGTGACCTTACTACTGACAGAGTTATCTAACACACATAAATTACAAACACAAATTGCGTCACCATTGCCAGCGGTGATTATTGGTTTCGGAGGTTCGTTATCAAAAATAATGACCAATAGATAGATAGATAGATAGATATATACTTTATTAATCCCGAAGGAAATTGTGCACTCGTCCCTTGCTCGCAATCATACAGCAATACATACATAGGTAAGAATTATAAGATGCAAAAGTAAAAAACGAGACAATAAATACATTAAAAACAATAAAAACATTAAAAGAGAAGTTAAGGCACTGCAAAACAATTCTCAAGACACCCCACCCCCCTCCCTCCCCCCCTGCTCCTCCCTGAAGTGGCTTTGTTATAGAGCCTGATGGCGTTGGGGACAAAAGAGTTTTTTAATCTGTCCCTGGAGCACCTCAGAGAGAGGAGTCTGGAGCTCCTGGTGCTTCTCTGGCGGGAAAAAAATGAATTCAGTGGGTGGCTCTGGTTGGACAAGATCACCCTGATCTTGGAGAGCGTTCTTTGCTCTACCACCTCCTCCACTGAATCCAGGCCCAGACCCACCACAGAGCCCGCCTTTCTAATGAGCCGGTTCAGCCTCTCAGTGTCCCTCTTTCGTGCACTGCCCCCCCAACAGACAACTGCATAGAAAAGGACACTAGACACAACAGACTGATAAAACATGTAGAGAAGCTTATCACAGACCCTGAAAGATGCCAATCGCCTCAAAAAGTACATCCTACTCTGCCCCTTCTTGTACACAGCGTCCATGTTGGCTGCCCAGCTCAGCTTGTTGTCCAGCTGCAGCCCCAGGTACTTATAGGTGGAAACCACTTCCACCGCAGTTCCCTCGATAATAATGGGCTGCAGAGAGGGTGGTGCCCGGCGAGAGTCCAGCACCACCTCCTTAGTTTTGGCTGAGTTTAAAAGAAGCTTGTTCTGCTGGCTCCACTCCACAAAGTTCTCAACCAAGCCTCTATACTCCCCTTCATCACCCCCCCTGACGCATGCCACGATTGCAGTGTCATCTGAGAACTTCTGCATGTGGCATGTCTCAGAGTTGTAGCAGAAGTCACTCGTATAGAGGGTGAAGAGGAGGGGCGAGAGCACAGTGCCCTGCGGTGCACCCGTGCTACAGGTCACTGTTGAGGACCTACAGCCCCCCCCCCCTCGCACGTACTGGGGCCTGTCGGTTAAATAATCCGTGACCCAACGCACAAGAAGAGGGTCCACATCCATGATGGTGAGCTTCTCCTGGAGAAGGATGGGATGGATGGTATTAAAAGCACTGGAGAAGTCAAAGAAAAGCATCCTCACAATGCACCCTCCCACATCCAGGTATGTGAGGGCACGATGTAGCAGGTAGAGGACTGCATCCTCGACCCCCACCCTCTCCTGGTAGGCGAACTGAAGAGGATCCCTCGTCGTCTCCACTTGGGGCCGCATGATCTGCAGGACCAGTCGCTCAAAAGTTTTCATCACATGTGATGTAAGAGCGACTGGCCTATAGTCATTAAGCACCAGAGGGCGTCCCTTCTTGGGGACCGGGACGATGCAAGACGTCTTCCATAGAGAAGGGACTCTCCCGCGCCGCAAACTTAGGTTGAAGACCTGCTGTAGGGGGTCTCCCAGCTCAGCAGCGCACGTTCTCAGTAGCCTAGGACAGACCCTGTCAGGACCTGCAGCTTTCCTTGGGCGTATGAGTTGCAGCTGCCTCGTTACCTGGTCTGCTGTGATGGTAACAGGAGTTGAGGTGTGTGTGACAGGCACCTGAGGGAGCGTAAAAGAGGCAAGAGGATGAGCAGCGTGATGAATATCATCAGAGGAAATAGGGAAGGGCTGTGGGGGCATATATATATAGAAATGCCCCCACAATTTCAAAATATATTTTGAAATTACTTTCAAATCAATGGAGCGTCTACTTCTACTGTGATGAGCCGTTTAATCGCAATTAATTCAGCAGTGCTAGCTTCGTTACACTCCATGTCATAGTAGAGAGTTTTTTGCTATTCAGACACTTTTACAAACAATTAAAGTGTGTGCATTATTACCTTATTCTACTAAGACAAGTCAGGTAAAGCATGCAACACCCATTCATGTGTTACCATTTCCATCAGGACGCGGCAGAGGAGTACTGCTCTCTGATCTGCCAGATGTTCCAGATCATCTACGGTCACCGGACCATCGAGTGTGTGGACCGAGCCGGCTTCCACCACACGCTGCCAGACCGCTACTGGCTGCAGAGGAGTCAGTATGAGCCAGACACTAGTAACAAAACAAATATCAATAAACAATGTGCTGCCACAAAGATTCTCACAATGATGTAAATGTTGCAGGTGACAGCTGTCTGACGGATGTGTCTTACAGTTATGACCCGGAGTTCAGCTGTTGCAGCTCATAGTGAGTGACCAATGACCCTCATCAAACGTTGAACTTAACTACATTCAAAAGGACAAATATTACCATGACTCGCTCCGAGCGCAGTCCAACTACTATGTCACAAGTTTCATCTAAACTTCAGAGGAGAAGTAGTCTATAGTAACCAGATCACTCCCTGTCTACTTCTACCTCAAATGTGGAAGGGCAAGGCACATTATGTATAAAGCACAATTTATGCAGAAGCTTAATAGGCACAAAATAACATTGAGAAACAATAAAACATTTTAGGAATTAATATTATTATATATGTATATGCTGTATATTTAAATATGCTGATATTTACTTTTGGTAAAAGTGTGGGGAAGCTGGCCCAAGTGTCAAAATTTGAGGGCAGAAGTCATTATTTTGAGCAGACAGTCCTGTGTGTCTGTCCTCCTTGATGATGTTCACGTTGGTGTGCCTTGAGCCATTGTTTGGTGTACCTTTGTAAATTACCATATATCACCTAACTGGTCAAAAAAAAGTTAAAAGAAAATAAGCCAAGAAGATTAAATAGACGTTTTCACTTGTTTGATGTATTACACTTTGAATAGAATGATTTAGCAATGTTGGTAAAGTCGGCTGAGTTTTATTTTTTGTAACAGTTTTGGCAGGTGGTTGACTGTTTTCATTGAAAAGGTGTCCCACGGTTCAAAAAGGTTGGGGAACACTGCCCTATAGAGTCTGAAATAACATTAATAAAGTGGAAAATGGAATAAAGTCACAATCACCTTCCAGTTGGCATCTCACTGGAATTTTGATCTTGGAGATTTTGACTTTTTTTTTTAACTTCCGGTACAAGTTTGGTCTTCTTCTTGTGTTTTCAGTGATGGCTCGCAGGAGGCCTTTGATCTGTACTACAGTGAGACATACAGCGAGAGCTCGTCCCAGCGCAGCGTCCCGTCTGCAAGCGAAGGAGACAATAACGCCGCCCTTCTGCTCATGCACGACTACATGACCACTGTGAGGACCACTGATACACAGATACACACATTAATTCATTCATTTACCACTACATGACCACTGTGAGATACACACACTCATCAGAACCAAAATCAGAATTATTTTTGTTTCCCTATTACTGTAACAGGAAGCCGCAAATTAGGAATTTTCTTTGGCTGAAGGTGCAAAAAAGGCATGACCACTGTGAGGACCACAGCACAAAGTGTGTGTTTTTTGTGTATATATGTGTGTGGGTGTGTGTCTGTATGTGTCTGTGTACATACATATAAATGTATATATATATATATATATATATAATTTGTCTGTATATGCATATGTGTGTGTATATATATATATATATATATGTATTTATGTATATATGTTTATGTGTGTTTGTGCATAGTTGCGTAACCGCTTGGAGCCTGGTGAGTTGCAGCATTTTGCCGTGCTGCTGCGAGAGTACCGACTGGGCTCTGACATTCGGTACTTTTGCTCTGAGCTCCTGCAGCTCTATGGGGACCAGCGCAAGTTCCTCCTGCTCGGTACCAGCAATCCCATCAGCAATCACACCATCACACACCACCACACACACACACACACACCGCCACACACCACCACTATTTCCTTAATTGCACCATTTATTAACGTCTGTTTGGCAGAAAGTAACCACAACCCTCCCCCAGTACCTGTCGTTGGAATGTTGTTTAAAAAAAGCGATTGCGAAAACCCGGAAGTAACCATTAACATGTTGTTCCAGGGAGCTAGCTAGCTAGCTTAGCTGTTACCTGCCTAGCACGTCCCGGTGGAACCTTTGGGAGCTAACTATTTTATTTGCAATTATTGAATACATTTCGAATTGTAAGGGCTGTCTAATATGTGTTCGAATATATATACATTTTTAATTTTAGAATTATATTTGAATTTCGAAGCCGAAGCCCTAGTTTTTAGCAGCGCTGTAGAGGCTAGAGGACGCAGGCTGTTCGCTGCTCGTTCTGTGAGTGGAGGAGAACGAGCGTCCCGCTCAGTTATTCTTACACAGCTGAATCAATTGCCTCAAGTTTTCAATTAAATTACGAATTATAATACAACTTGCATGTAGTAATAAGCATTTTTATCAACTACTGAGAAAAAAAATCGGGTATAGCTTCTTTAACTGACGGCAGCATGTAGAGATTGAACAGAAGAGGTCCCAGGATCGACCCCTGTGGGACTCCACAGGTCAGGGCCAATATGATCTGAGACACAGTTTCCAATCTCCACAAAGTACTTCCTGTCTTCAAGGTAAGACCTAAACCAACTTAGAGCGGTGCTAGCGACACCAACCCAGTCCTCTAGTCTCTGTAAGAGGATCTCATGGTCGACGGTGTCAAAGGCAGCACTCAGATCTAACAAGATTAAGATTGAGACTTGGCCTGCGTCAGTGTTCAGCCGGATATTATTTGTAACCTTGACGAGAGCAGTCTCAGTGCTGTGGTGGGGTCTAAAGCCGGACTGAAATATGTCAAATGATTTGTTGATAATAAGAAATCTAGTAAGCCGTAGGTAAATAACTTTTTCAAGGACTTTCCCCATATATGGCAGATGGGGAATAATGATGTTTATTCTAGCACTAATCTACTGCTGGTGTCTGTGTGTGCCAAGGAATGAGGTCATTCATCCCGGACCAGGACGTGGGGGTTTTTGAGAGCTTCCTGGAGAGCATCGGGATCAGAGAGGGAGGGATTCTGACCGACAGCTTTGGACGCATCAAACGCAGCATGAGCAACACGTCGGCCTCCGCCATGAGAGGGTCTGTGTCCGCCCTCTATGAGACCAAAACAGTTCTTATCAGTCTAGCCCAGTTTAAGATTAAGAGAGCCTTTATTCATCCCACAATGGGGAAATTTCAGTTGCATCAGCAGTTACAGAACAGTAGGAACAAGTAGCACACAAGACACATGAGCAATAACTCTATATTAAATAAAATAGAATAAAAATAAAAATAATCTAAAACTCTATAATTAAAAGAAGCAGTATAAAATTACTGCTTCAATCTTTAGCATCATTAGTACAAAAACTCTGACATAAAGTTCTTTATTAAATACTATAATAAAGAAGTATAAAATCTCTACCTTTGGCATAATAAGAAGCAAGTATAAAGTACTTTGTATTCTAGTGCAAGAAATATGTAGTTGTATGTTTACATCTGTACGTCAGCAGCATGAGGGTATGGGACAAAGTGACAAAGTAGAGCAACAGTGGACACCCATGGTTCAATACACTGTATTGCACATTCTGACATTTGTTCAAGATATTGCACCAATGCGTGATTTGTGAAGTGAAGTTTGTTCATGTAAGGGACAGTGTGTATTTACTTGGGGGCGACAGTAGCTCAGTTGGTAGAGCACTGGTCTTTGGACTCAATGGTAGAGGGTTTGAGCCCACCACGACCTACAGTTGTGTGCGAAAGTCAGGGCACCCCTTTAAAACAGCATATTTTATATATTAAATTTTTTTTATTCATATTTACTGTCTCTCTGGTATATGGGAAAAAAAGACAATATTGTCAGGAAACAATAATGCATAGTTACATTTTATTTTATAAATTGAACAAAATTACAAACATTAAAAACATAATTTTGGCATGTGCAAAAGTCGGGGCACTCTACAGCATCAGTACCTTCAGTACTTAGTAACACCCCCTCTGGCAGATATCACAGCTTGTAAACGCTTTTTATAGCCAACAACAAGTTTCTGGATTCTATTATTTGGGATTTTTCCCCATTCTTCCTTGCAAAAGGCTTCCAGTTCTGCAATATTCTTAGGACGTCTTGCATGCACAGCTCTTTTAAGATCTACCCACAGATTTTCGATGATGTTTAAGTCGGGAGACTGTGAAGGCCATTCCAAAACCTTCAGCTTGCGTTTCTTGAGGTAGTCCATGGTGGATTTGGAGGTTTAGGATCATTATCCTGTTGTAGAAGCCATCCTCTTTTCAGCTTTAGCTTTTTTACAGATGCTGTGATATTTCCCTCCAGAATTTGCTGGTATTTAATTGAATCCATTCTTCCCTCCACCCGAGCAATGTTTCCTGTCCCACTGGCTGCAACACAACCCCAAAGCATGATGGATCCACCCCCATATTTAATAGTTGGCAAGGTGTTCTTTTCATGAAATGCTGCTCCTTTTTTTCTCCAAACATACCTTTGCTGATTGTTTAGTTTAGTTTACTTTATTTATTTGATCAGGGACAATGCACAAACAACATTAGTCTAAAAAAGAAGAGATGTCATGTGCCAGGTTATAGCAAAAATGCTAATTTCCACCTGCAGTCTGCTGTAATTTGTCAGAATTCCCCTGCCCCAGAAGCTGCAGAGAGGCCGCAAACACAGCAGCCCTTCGTTCTGCAGGTCCTTTTAGTTAAACAAGAGACAAAAACCAATGTTAAAACAGTAATAGAAATGACAGATACCAAACCTGATTTCAAAAGGTTATATTGAAGATTTGCAAGCAATATTACAAGATTACACGGTCTGCGAACAGGTCTCGCTTCGTGTTCAAGATAAGGGGTGGCCTCGGGTCTCTCTCTGCTCCTGATCAGGAGAAAAAGAAAAAGCCCCCGTGACCGCTCCTGCACATCTCTTATACTTTACATCCAAGGTCACTTGACATCACAACTGTATGGACCCTATGACTCCTTCTGGCCCGCTGCCAACGTTTGCACCTGCTCTGATAACCACTTGTCTCCCTCTTGTCCCCCTCCCATTTCACACAGACTAACCTTGAACTCACTGCTCTTTGAGATTTACACAAACAAGTGCTAATTTGGCAACAGAAACAATACTAAACTGATTTTAATTTTAACTGGTCCAGGAGTTCAATATTCCAACAGTCCCCCTGTTGGCCGGAGAGGAACTCTTCGGACATCCATCACTCTCGTCTCAGATGGCCCATCTTCATCAGTTGATCCAGCATTACATCCTATACTCAGTCTAATCCCAGTCTTCACGACGATCTGTGAACTCCTAAACCACCCCATGTGACATTATGAAAAATGTGGTGGTCTTCCACTCAGCCCTTACTTCAGACCCCCCCCAAAGGCCTCTGGGCGGACTGAGCATCCAACTCACCCTAAACTACATACATTGAAGTGATCCTATAAAACAATCTATATGTGGGTGTGCTGCGGTGTCTAGTCTGTGTAACAAAAACAATAGTTGCAAGAGCTGTGGAGAAAGAATATGTTTGTGTCGTGCATCAATTTGAATTATGTAATTTTTTATTTTAATTTTTAATTTTTATAAATTTTTTATCGCATCCCCGATTTTCCCAAGTCCCTCTTACAAGTTTGCAAGGTTATGTGCGTTATTTACATGCAAGCAGTTATACATTTTTGATTAAAATATTTTGATAATATCATAAAGCATACTCACAACTCCTCTGGTGATATTCTGACAATATCACAGGCCATACTCACCCGTTCTTCTGATGATTGTCCTTTATGGCTTAGGCTATGGTCATCAATTCTTCTGGTTCCCACTGTAGGTCCTGGGTTAGTAGCAGTTGTCTTTCTGCCACCTTCCCTTCCACAGCGGCTGTTATCACTCTGTTACATAAGGATCGTATGCACGGAATACAACAGCATCCACATAGCGTCAGGATTGCTGCAAATACAGCCACCGATAGTAGAGTTGATGCTATCAGTGCCTTATATCTGCCAAACACATCCAACCACCCATCCCACATTGATTGGTCTACTCCTGAATGTGCCTTCATTTCTTGGGATAGCGCCTTTAGTCCCTGAAGGGCCCTTGTTAATTTTCCATTTGGGGCAGTATTATTTGGGATAAACGTACAACACGTAGGGCCAATCAATGAACAGGCTCCGCCTTCTTTGGCTAAAATCATGTCAACAGCAAGTCTGTTCTGGAAGGTCATTAAGGATGTGGCTGATAATTGTTCATGAATTGCCTCAAATCCATCATATGTATAATTGCTTAGCCTCTGTATGTTGTAATGTAAGTAGTTGATCCGATCGACGTTCTTATTTGGGGTTACTGGAAAAATTGCGGAGATTATTGGGATGTTTTCAAATCCTGATGCAATTTCATCAACCAATTTGTATTCATTTGGAATTCCCCTAGGAATACCTATTGCATCAATATAAACTGGACTTCCCTCCTCTGGTCTAGCCAGTGCCCTTCTTGATCTGGTTTTTACACTAATGATTTGTTTCAAAATCTCTGGCTTCTCTAGATCCACTGGAGCTATTTCAATTGGTATGAATAATGAGATCAACACACACATGCCATCCCACAGAGGGTGTAGATATCCCCTTAAAGACTTGCCACCACAATACCACCACACATCTGCTCTGGCTACTGTCAACTTGTGTCCATTTAATTTTTCTGTGAAATCCTCATACCTAATGCATAAGGATCTATTTACATGTCCTACTTCCCTTTTTTCTCCACTAAGGACCTTCCTAATGACGCAGGTGTATTCACCTTTTACTTGTGATTTAAAATTTGGTGGTGTCGCATTTGTGGCAGTTACCGGATATATTTTATCATATAGTGAACAGTTAGGGTATAGGTTATCTCTCATCATAATCTCTACTAAACATGTATGATTGTCCCTATCTACTACAGTTGGTACTGCATGTAACATAGGCCTTGGTCCCATACAAGCAATACATTGACTTAGTTGTGTAGCTTTTGCGGCTTGCTCAATCATAAATAGCCAATTATTTTTTGTAGCTGTTATTCCTGTCTCCATTCTGAAAACATCATCTGCGTGTAAGAGAGTTGCATTATATACCATTACTAGGTTTGTGTTACCAACATGTCCTACGTTAAGCCCCCCTTCTCTTGTGACACTGACTGGATCTTCACATATAGTAATTAATGCCCAAGGGTCTTCTCCTGGCACATATGCCCATACCAGAAATCCCCAACAAAACCATAGAGGTTTCTTCCCTGATCTGTCTCTTGGGTCCAATGACTCACCTCTCAAGTCCACTGTAATTGTAAGACATGGTACACTTCCCTGCATAATCCCCTTTGTCATGGAAATTATTTTAGAATGGTGTCTTGCAAATTCTGTAGTTGGTGTTGGTGTCCAATCTAATCCAGTATATGCCACCATTGTCCCCCATGATTTATCTCTCATGTCATTTGTCATGTACCATTCATAATCTGAATTTTCTGCTCCCACTTTTTTCCCTTTGTTTACTAATGCTATAAAAGGTACCTGGAATGCCATATGTTCTCCCTTTGCCAAACACAATTGCACCCCAAATAGGTATTGTCGCTTTTTTGCACATGCTCCCAGTTTATCCAATTCCCTTTTTGGTCTTATTTTTATCCCTGTCCCCTTTGTAGGTTGAATTTTGCGTTCTCTCATTTGTTTGCCGGGTAAAATGTCTGAATAATCAGAAATTGAGGACTTGACACCAAGAGTTTTCTCCTTACCATAGACAGTTGTTGGTTTTGCATACCCCTGGCCTAACTCTGTTTCCCAGGCCCACATAAAAAATCCAGCTATAATCCCTATACCTACCACCATACTCACCCACTCTCGTGTCCTCAACCCTAAGAGTGTCCATGGTCCTATCATGTTGAGAGTACCTGCATGGTGAACACCTCAGTCTTAAAGTCTATCCCATGCATACCAGATTAGTGTTTTCAGCTTTGATTTGCTCAATTGCTCATCTAAATAGTTGATTCTGGATCATGAATATTTTTTTTTTTTTTTTTTTTTTATATATATACTCAATCAATAATTATAAAAATAATATTAATAATCAAT